GAGGAGAGGGGCTGCCCGTGGGGGGCGAGCCCGCACCCCCCGTCCCACGCGAGCTCACTCTCCCCGCTAGGCGCCGTGGATTTATATTTCGGCTGGATATTTATTACTTAAACCGATTTTTTTTAATTTAATTTCTCAATTTGTGATGCAGCAACGCACCCCTTAATAATTCACCTTAATAATTAACCAGCACGGTTTTGTGTTACGGATGTTCCCTGTGGTTTTTTGGGGTTTTTTTTCCCTTTAGGAACTTGGTGTGAAAGGGCCCGGTGCGTGGGCGCCATGGGTTTGTCAGCGTCCTCGCCGGCTGCGGCGGGTCAGGCGCCGAATTCGTCCCGGCACCATCAGACAGCATCTCCGCCTTCAGAATGTCCCATGCATCAGGAGAAAGCGAGCGGTAATTATTCTTGAAACTTAAATGAAATTAGCTCTTGGGTAACTTTCTGTGGAAAGGAGTCAGTTGTTCACCAGGACAGCACGCAAGCCGCTTGGGCTGTAGCGACTGTAGGTGCTTGCTGTAGCACCTTGGGTGGCTCCCGGCTGCCAGGCGTCGCGGGGGTGCTGCTGGTGGGGTCCCCTGGGGTGGTGCCCCCGCAAAGGGCCAGCGAGGCGCGGGGGCCCCTGCAGAGATGGTAACCGGGGGCAGGTGGTTGCGGCTGGGGAACGTGCGCCTGGAAAAGGGCAGCAGAAGGGTGGAGGAAGGTGAACGGAGAAGGGGGACATCAGCTCTTCCGCTGACACGGTCAACGCGTGTTGGGTGAACCTTGCTGCGGGAATCTGAAGCGCAAACGGTCCAGTACAGGGGCCAGCACAGTGTGGGGAACGAGCATTCAAGGACTGCCTAAGAAGCTTGGATCTTCCCGTGGTGCTGGGTCCTAAAATGCGGGGAAGAGAACAGTTAAAACCGTTGCAAAGCTGGGAAGGAACAGCGAAATACCCGTTTGTATGTACATGAGCGTTCAAGGAGCTGTTTTCCATTTCCTACCATGTCTTAAGAGTTTTCATTTTGAAGCAAAGCATGCACTTTTTACCTCTATCTCAGGTTGTCCAATGCACATGAAGACCCCTGACCACAGAACTGAGAACGATGTTCCTGCGCATCAGGAAAGAGCGTATGAATTCGTAGCGTGTCCGGTGAAGTCTGGTGCATCTCAAGTGAACGATGACATAGATCCCAGCAATATGGTAACTTTCTTTTATTTCAGATGTTGTCCTCGGCCTTGTTTCTTCTGAAACACTATCCCCAAAATGTAAACAGTGATAGTCTCGGGTAGAAACTCTGACAAATAACATTATTTTTCAGTTTTTAACACTGCTTTTTTCTCACTTTGTGTGCAAATATTTTAAAACCAAGTTATATCTTATTTAACGTTCTCTTCTTCGAATTCCTGTCTTCTTGTTAAAAGATGGTTTTCCAGTTTGTAAATATCTTTTGCTGTCTTTCCCCATTTGTTAGTTATGTGCACGGTTTTTATGCTACGGTAGAGGCATTTAGGTTCTGTGCGATAGCAGTATGGGTAAGTTCTGATTCAGGTCTCCTAGATTTCACCTAATTTACAAAAAACACTGCTCTTTTGAAAGCTGAAGTTTAGGCAGAAGGATTCCTTTCGTCTCCAGATGGCAAACTTGTGGAAGGAGTTCTGCTGCAAAAGAGAAAGGTAATTTTGGCAGGCATAAGTAAAGGCTGAACTTCTTGATCTTTGTAGCAGCTGATTGATTACGCTTTGATTTTTCTCAAACACCGGAACCTAAAAAAAAGTCATACTCCAGTTTGTTCTTGAGTCTCCTTGTTTTCTAGATGCCTCCTCCTCCTAATCAGCAGGTGGTTCTTGTTTTCTAGATGCCTCTTCCTCCTAATCAGTGTGTGGTTCTCCTTTTTTTCTAGATGCCGCCTCCTAATCAGCAGCCATCTCCAGATCAGCCCTTTCCATTGTCGACCGTTAGAGAAGAATCTTCCATCCCTCGAGCACATTCTGACAAGAAATGGGTCTACCCTTCAGAGCAAATGTTCTGGAACGCTATGCTAAGAAAAGGGTAAATGCACTGTGATTTACCAGGTGGCGTCTGTGAGCCTGAAATTCATGAAGCATCATTAGTTATTATTCATCGATGTTATTAAGAGTTTGTGGGCTCTAAGCAGTAAATAACTAAGTGTATTAAAAATCATTATTTTTATAAACAGCTTTATTTTAAAAGGTGAGCTGGTCTCAAAGGCCGCGTCTCCTCTCATAATCAGCAAGATGGTAGGGAGTGTCAGGCAACTGCCACTGGCTCAGAGAATTTTCTTCGAAGTCAGTGTATAGGCAGAGGCAAACTTGGCGTGGTTGCCAGCTTTCAAACTCAACCAGCTTCGTGCTAATCCTGCAAACTGAAAGTAGAAGTTCTGTGATTGTGAGAACATCTAACGTGACTTTGCAAAATTGCTAAAAATGTGAAAATTGTTTGGTGAGGAGATGGTTTCAGTCTTGACAAAAATTCAGCGTAGACAAGACCCGGCTGAATGATAAAATGTCTCCCGTGGCCTAAAAAACTTGTGCTGCTGTTTCCACATTCTTTTGTAATTATTTGTCGTTTTCAAACAGATCAACTTCAAAGGTGGTTACTGTTAAAACCGTGGTAGTTCTTTGTCCTAAGTGTCAGTATTGTTCTGAAGTCGATACGTCATCAGCAGCCTGTATCGAACATACAAGTTGCGATCCTGTGAACACTTACATGTGTTCAGCATTAGGCCTGTTGAAAAGGAAGCTGTCGTGCGGGGTCAGCGAGATGAAAGGCGTTTCTAAGTGTCTGGAAAATGTATTGAATGCAGGACTTCCTGTGCATTAGGAATGCCAGTGGGGTTTTTCCCAAGCATTTTTACGAATACCGTGGGTGCGCTGATGTTTGCACGCTCTGATCGCTTTCCGATCCACTTAAGCTGTTAATTTAGCGAACCACAATTTGTGGATCTCTGTGGTGGTAACTTTGATACCTGTGCTCCCGCACAGAAAGTGAAGCGGCTCTCGGGATGCTGAAGCAGATGAGCCGGAAGTTCCCATGCTCGCTTTGCGCCTTTGCATAAAACCTTAAATCTCTTCATTCAAAAGCCCATCAGATAAACTGAGGAAGGTGGAGTAGTTATGCTGTAATGCTTGTAAACTGTGTTTGAATTCTAATTTTTTAGGTGGAGGTGGAAAGATGATGACATAACAGGTGAAGACATGACCAACATTATTAAGATTCACAACCAAAATAACGAGCAAGCTTGGAAGGAGATTTTGAAGTGGGAAGCTCTTCATGCTGTGTATGTACATACGAAACAAAAAGCAAATCCTTCAGTTTAGCCCTTTGTAATTCTTTGAGAGTAGAATGTCTCTTGAGAATTTTTGCAGAAATATTCTGATGCTGATCCATCTCAAAAGTTATGGTCTTGTTAGGAGCTTGTATTTTGATTGACATGGAGGAAGATCATCCAGAAGAGCTTAACTAGAACTGAATAATTGTTATGTTGAGAAAACTGATGAGCATTTTGGTGGCGTGTGTATGATGTGGATTTGGAGAAATTAACTGCTTATTGTATCGGTTTGGGAATTACTTAATTGAAATCTTTATGCTATGAAAAAGATGGGAGATGTAAGCTTAGCTTACAAGTGACTGGCGTAAAACAAACTCTCTGTTTAGGTCAGTCCCTGTTCCTAGAAGAGACAGACTGGTTAAGCGTTCTGTACGTAGAAATTGTCCTCTGAAATTCCATGATCTTTGTTACACGGTAGTTTAGATTACGGTTTTCTGTTCTTTAATTTATTAAATCTGTGGATTAGATTTGCTGAGGACTGCTCTGTTGATAAGTTAGAACAACAGCATGGAGCGTATCAAAGGTATTGGATGCAGCAGTAAGCGCTGTCAGAAATGGGGACTTCTCAGACCTTCAAAAAAAAAAAAACCCCAAAGCTGTTTTAGATCACTTGTAATTAATTTTTTTACTGTTGCACTTTCTCCTATTCAGTTTTTCTGTTACTAAAACAAATCACCAGAGTGGTTTAAACAGTTAAAATAAGACTGTTTTAAAAGGTAAAAATTATTTTCTTTTTTAATTGCGTGCCTAGGGAATGTCCGTGTGGACCATCGCTGATGCGGTTTGGAGGCAAAGCAAAGGAGTATTCGCCGAGAGCCAGAATACGCTCGTGGATGGGGTAAGAGGGGCTTCCAGTGTGGTGGGAGGGTGGGGAGACGTGCCTGAAAACAGGGTGTAGAATTAATTTTAAGATGTATCGGAACTGGAATTGCAAGTTACCAGAAGATAGAAGTACTAGTGGGGATCTTATGCCAGTATCTGGATAAATAAATCTTCTTAAACAGGACTTCCACTCCCTCTCTCAGGTTCATAATATCCATTAAAATATCTACGTGGTCTATTACCTGTCTTTCCAGGTACGAACTTCCCTTTGACAGACATGACTGGATTGTTGACCGATGTGGAAAAGAAGTGCGATACGTTATCGATTACTACGATGGTGGAGCAGTAGATAAGAACTACCAGTTCACGATCCTGGATGTTCGCCCTGCGTTTGACTCTCTCTCGGCCGTGTGGGACAGAATGAAGGTAGCTTGGTGGCGGTGGACTTCCTAACTGCTCCGGTGGCATCTAGTCAAAAAGTAAACCACTTTCCTCCTAGGCCAAGGATAAGGGAATACGAGGACGTGAAATAGAAGTTCACTGCGACTGTCGTTGTTTTCACTGTCACCACTGTTCGTTGGGGGTGGGAAGGGAGGATGGGGAAATCCATGCTAAGTACACCCATGCTTTATGGTGTTTTGAATGAAATAATAAAGTTGTAGTAGCAAAAACATGTATCTTAAGAGCTGGGAAATCTTTCCTTACTTTGTCGCAGATTCTGCGTAAGCTTGCCGCCTTTTCATTTCATGCCTGCAGTGCCGTGCCAAATACATCAGGTTTCTGGTTCTGACTGGAGGTTTGAATATTACTTACATAGTGAAAACTGGAAATTCCATAAAGGCTTTCACGTAGGTACAGTATTTGGATACTTAGATGATGAATAAAGGGCAAACAGTCTGGACTCTTTCAAACTGCATGTTTTAGTAACTATATAGAAACGTGTATTTGTTTTCATGTGGGCACTTTACCTGTTCAAACACGTGCTTCCTCAGAAAACTTTAGTCAAGTTTATTCTGTTGAAGTGTAGCGTGAGTATTTCTAGAGGTATGTTAAGTTGAAAAGGAGATTATACCCATGCAGTTATCTTTGAACAGAAGAAAATCTGTTAGAAGCAGGAAATGAGTGTCCATTAATGTTAAAACAACACTTCTAAAAGGAGATAAAGTGGATATTCAGTGGCTATTTATGGCTATTTATTTGAGTATTTAAAAGGTTTCTTTTCTGATGTAAGAAAACTGTATTCTTTTAGTATTTTCATGCCTTCAATGTGTGTCTTGTGTAATGCGTTCAGGACAGAACTAAGCCTTATTTAAAGAAGCTGTCGTGCAGTCCATCTTGGCTTCATCAACTGTACCATAGCGTGGCTTTTTTATGTAATACAGGCTCGCACAAGGGTGTATGACAACAGGCGTACCCGTCTCTGCATAGTGATTGTATTACTGATGCGGATATAATATATAACTTAGCTAAAAGGGTATCAGAAGCACTAAGAAATAAGGTTGATTTGAGTGTTTTCTAAGAGTGATGCATGTTAATGCGGTGCAGCTTAAAGATTTGATTAATGTTTGTGCTTATTAAGGGAAACTAACTTTGTTTTTTTTTTTTAAGTCTTCCACTGTAATTGCTTTAAATTTGCATGGCTTGGTAAATTTCAGGTGCCACATACCCCTAAATGGAAATTATTCCTCCCTTTTGGCATATATTACTCTTGAGAATGAATCCTCCATGCAAAACGCTCGGGAATGGGAGGGATAAGAGCGCATCATGTTGTCGCTTCTCGAATGGGAGAAGCTTCCTTCCTGAAACATCCCAGCCTTAACTGGGAACCAGCTGTACGTTTGTTTTCTGAAAGTGGTCATTTTTAACTGACCTTGGAAGCTTTGTGGGTTTATTTATTTATTTAGTTAGTTCCCTGAGGGGAGAGGCCCTTAATGTTTCAGTCAAGGAGCTTCCCACTTAGGAAAAAAACTATTCAGGGAAGCTTCCATACTTTTAAGGTACTGACGGAGATGAATGGTTCCCACTTCAGAGGCAGCTGTCCTGCATGGAGGCATAAATATTACCCAGAAGTCCAGAATCCTAAGAGAAAGCCACTCTCTTACCCCTGTCCACTTCCCTCATTCCTTTTTTACCTTTCTAGTAATTCATATATACATATATAAATGAAAAATAGTTTAGGGCAAAAAAAAAAAAAAATCGCCTGAATAGGCAGTGTATGTATGAGATAGATGAGAAGTGCGTGAGCTTGTATGAAGCGTGGCTGGTAACGCAAGAGCCACTCCTAACAGTAAAGCCTGAGGCTTACTGCTTTTTGGGGTGGTTTTTTGTTTGTTTGGTCGGTTCATGTGTACATTTGGTAACTTGAATTAGAATTCTGTATTCCTCACAACTGAATATGGAAAAGGTACACCAACGTAGGGCATGCTTCAGAAGCTGCAAAAGAATAAGTTTGCTTTGTTGATTTTGGAAGGGTGATGTTGAGCGCGTTACGGAAATTGCAATTGCTGCTGAAATCTGGTGAAAGGCGTCACATGCCACTTCATGCCTCTACCGTTTTCTGTGATGTTGCATCTCGCCTAGATGCAAAATTGTTCTTTTCTGTGCTGCTGTTAATGAAACGTACTACTTTTTCATCAAAGAGAATCAAATAAATATACTTTTCTTAACTTTGGTATTTGGTGATCCTATTTTTAGCTGTAAGAATGATTAAAGATGAGCTCTTGCATGTGTCATACGAGACTATGGTGTGTTACAACTAATCACGTTTTGGAATCACTCATTTATTTAGGGGAATACAGAACCAAAACCCGAGGACTAAATTAAAGTGTTGGCCAACCCCGCCAGCAGCTCTCAGAATCTAAGAGCATGCGACAACAAATAACGTTCGTCCTGAGCCTGGCTAACTTCTGAACAGAGGAATGCAAGGAATTTTATTTTTGTTGTTTTAATAATCCTTGAAGCGTAGATGAAAATAATTCACTTCTACCAGCAGTTAGACTTAGGGAAGTAAACATGGAGTTTTCTCTTCCAGGTTTGGGTTACTTTATGTATGATGTTGGCAGTTCACTATTTCTCAGAAGATGGGTGTCAGAGTGGTTAGAATTCTAGTGTAAACTTGAAAGCCAGCGATTTAAATTGACGATTTTTACCCTTTGGGAGGAGGTTTTCACTGTAAAACTGTTGTTTAGGCTAGATTAAAGGCAATGCGTGTATATGCATAAATAAATACATTTATATCCTTTCTTTGTAAGTATATAAAGGTATGGAGAGTTCATGAAGCTCAAAAAAGTGAAGGGCTGTCCTGATCGGGCCCTTTCTGGGAGTTCTGCAGCAGCATCAGGTTCCCTGTCCCAGTCAGGCTGAAACAGAAGTTCAGAACCCAGCATCTCAAACCAGGTTAACCTCACACCTGGGCAAAAGGGAAAATGTGGACAATGCCACTAACGCAGGGCCACTTTTTAAAGCAGTTGTGTGTTTAGGTATTTTAAGGTTCCCCTATGCTCTGCTTGACTGTGTCGAAGCTCTGCTTGACCTTGTGTTTGACTCTTGCAGTTAAAACAAGTTAGGAGAGCTCTCCTGGTCTGTGGCTGAAGATGCGTCCTTCACAAACTGCGATCTCTGTGACTGGTGGATGGAAAAGGACTCCAGCAGAACACCCCAACCGTTGTCAGGTCTTGGGTCGTACACCTGTCATTTTGAGTGGTACTGACCTGTATTGCCTGGAGCAGGAGACCATTCTGCATCCACATAACGGGGTTTGGGCCTCTTGCAGCCAGTGACTTCCCTGCTAGTGGGGCACTGAACACGTGGCTGCTGGGCCTCCCTGCTCGGTAACGTAGGCCCGGTGCTCTGCTCCTCGCAGGACCTCCTCTGGCCAACGCGAGTGCCCTCTCATGAGGGAGGGCCTGTCCTTCAGGATGCCTGGAGTTCCTGGCCACGCTCAGTCGTCCCGTGATGCTTTGGCCTTGCGTTGCACTAGCAGGCAGTTTAGAAAGGGGAGCTGTAGCTCTTCTGCCACCCGTTATTTCTGGCTTTATTTATTTCCTTCTCCCCTAGAAACAACTTTGCTCTTCCCTTTCAGATAATGTCCGTGGTCCTAGCTTCAATCTCTTTAAGATTTTTTCAGCCAAGGCCTAGAATTTCTGCCCTACTTTGCTGTAGAAGAAAGAGACTGTGTTGCTGGTAAGAAGGTACTTGTGTCCGTTGTTGATAATTGCTATTTTTTACTGCTAAAACAAAGTGTTCTGGTTTACCATTTTTCAGTTACGATGCGAAAGAAGAATGCTAGTTTGGTCTGAAATGGGGCAACAATGCTGTCTAATGTTTACATACTATCAGGACGTTAGGTGCTGTGGAAATAATTATTTAAAGTCTAAAATATGATGATGAATATTGTTCTGCCTCCAGAAGGTGTGAGAGTGGCAAAGGGTCTCTCGGTGCTCTGAAAATGATCGTAAGTAGTCTCTCACCTTACGCGCTCCCATTTTGTTCAAGTCTCATGTCAAAGTGTGTTGGAATAATAGCTAATGTGCCAAAATTCAGAAGATGGAGGCGCAGGTGCTAAGGTTGCTGTAGCTCTGCAGCTACAAATGAAGGGAACTGGTAAATGAAGGAGCATTGCCTAATTTTGAGTGTCTCACTGATGGTTTGTTTTTTTTTTATAGAGGGTAAAAATGCCCCTTTCAATAACGCCACTCCATTTTTTTTTTTTTAAGAGATGTCCCCATCATTTGCAAAATTAAATGACACTTGAATCCTTTGTCTCCATTTGCTTACACCTGGAGGAAAATCCATGTAGTAAGGTTCCACCAGCAGATGTACTTGATGTGGAAGCTGAACTTATTTTGAGGATAGAATATGCTACTCATAACCCTGGCCATGCTTATGTCTTCACCCTTCCCCACCCACAAGTATCTTTACATATGTTCTTTTTAAAAAAATACAGCAGTGCTCGTTTTCTACAAATTTTTAGTAGGCAATTTCATGCATTTTTACTCTCACCGAAAGGAAACATTCTCTTTATTATTCTGTTTTGTACAAGGTAAATTGCAGGCAAAGATCTGTATGTGGTGAATCAAGTAAGTATTGATTCTCTTGGCAATGTTAGTAATGATAGGACGGTAATAATAGACACGTCATTTTGTAAAAAGCATCCTTTTTAGTTTGCGTTAGATGGTTAATCGCTTTTATTTGCATCTCCTTCCAGAAAAAAATGGCTTGCCAAACTCCTAGAGAAAGAATCTTAAATTCTTTCATGAATGTGACAGTTGCATCTCTTTGGCCTTACTGCTTGTACGTCAAATTGTTCAGAAGCTCGTGGGCAGAGTACTAGTCTTGCCTCCAAACCTAAACGCGTGGCCTTGAGCATCTGTGGCACGGTGCATTATTTATCAGTGAACCACTGATTCCAGTGCCAGCTACGCGCAAGACATCTCTGCATAACTGCAGCGTGGGTACATATTTTTATGACTGGAGTCTCAATTAATCCAATTTTCAAAGGATAACGTAAATTTATTGGAAGTATTGGGACTTGTTATTAAGCCTCATTAAAAAAAAATTAATAGATAGTTTCCTTTGCTGACACTCAGTTTGGACCAGGGCCTCTTATAAAATAGAAACCATCACATTTGTTTTCAACATATTACGCACCCCCCTACACACCCACCCCCGTTAAAGACTAAGTCGTGATTTTTGTTTTCCGATGTTTTGCCAATTTTGTGGTAACTACAGGAAGTTTTAGCTATTTTTCTAGCATGCTGGTGCTCTTGCCTCCAGCTTCTGAAGACTGTGACCCCATAAACCTCCTGTCTATAGAGATAGCTAATGCTTTAATTGATCATTAGTAGACTTTCAAAATGAGTCTCCATCTGCCAAAAGATTAAGTGTCTTGGGGAATTGACTTGGAGCAGTTTGATGCATGCAGGATAAATGCAAGTGCCTTTAAAAAGCACTGCTAGACCACAAATCCTTGAAAAACTTGCTTCTAAAATACTTAAACGGAAAAGGGATAGAAAAGATTTTTCCTCTGATTTGCTTATTCTCAAATTAGAGAAGGCTTTTTTAATATATCAACGAGAATTCATGAGCTCATTTTCAAAAACCAAAGAGCAAAACCTCATGAAAATGTTGAATTTAACCTTAGAACAAACCATGCGAATTTTGGCAGCTTTATTCTGCAACGTAAAATTTTTCGTTAAATGAATTTATTCTAACTTTAAAAAACACATGCTTTGGGCCAAAGAAAAAAAACGATGAAAACTTTTCTACGAGCTGTACTTGAGAATACTGAGGAAAAACACCTCCATGTTTTATCACAAGGCCTAGCTGTCATTGTGGGTTCCTTGATAGTGTCTGTCTTGTGACCCCAAAATGGGCAACTGCAGTGATTTTTAGATGCTTCCTAGTTTAATGCTTTCTAGAGTACGTGCTTTTAGGTAGCTGGGATGGCAGGGTGGCTGGCATGGAAATGAGGGTAAAAAGATGTAGGTGGATGTTCCAAATTGACGTATTTTTCCAAATGTCTGTCTACTCTTCTCTTATTTGCTACTCGGGTTAGGGGAAAACGGGTCTAAATGCACAGTTTTATATATAATCGCTAGCGGTTGTCGATGTAACGCCTAATTGACGGGGGCCATAATTACAGTGAGTGGATAAGCGAAGGATACTACTTTTGCAAATAACACTGGGAAGATTAATCTTACCCGCGTATGGAAGGTTGCATTCTGTTTGCAAAGTGGAAAATACTGGTATCGTCAGCGGCATATTGATTTATGACGGGATGCCGGAGATGGTTTAATATAGGCTGACTCCAAAAAGCAAGATTTTTTTTTTTTAAACTTTATTTGCCGCATGTTGATGGGAAGGCATCCATTTCGAGAAATGAATATGGGTAATGTTATTCTATCAAACACTGCAATGTTTGAAGAAATCATTAAAAAAAAAAAGGGAGGGGGAAATAAGATCTTGACTTCCAATTTAATAATAATGGAATATGAAGGCCACATTGTAACCGTAGAAGTTCATTTCAAATTTAAACATTTAGCATTTTCGCTAGTCTGTGACTACAAGAAAATTTATTACATTAAGATGGAATTTAGATCTTTGACACGAAGCTGGTATTTTCATAGTGTGAAAAATATCAAGCTGACATTATACTGTCTCATTTGATGACTTCCAAATGTCAGAGTGCAGTAACTTATTCATAGGGACCTCAGTGTCTTGTGATAGTGTCAATTTAAAAGACATTTACATCGACTTTTTTTTTATTTAAACATGTAAAATGGAATATGCAAAGCGGATGAGGAGAAGGGCGAAAGACCAGGGGCAAGGAAGTTCTTAATGATAGAATGAGGCACTTTTAAGGCTGATTTCCACCGAAGCCTTCTGACAGCTGCATGGACTGGTACCTGGCAGTACTTCTGACAGCTCTCCTCTTCTTTCCCTTCACATTATCTTCCTCATTCCCAGCCCGGCACTCTCATGTTTCTTGTTATTTCGACAGAATTCGGGGGATTAAAAATAGCGCGATATGCTTTCCTGAAAAAGTAAACCACCCCTCCCTTGTTTTAAAAGTGAGTTTGTAGGAATGGAAGATACCGAGTGTTTCTTTTGAGGTGA